TTCAGACTGGTAGATACAGAGAGCTGTAGATATATGAAGGCTAGAGCCATGCCCCAAGAAGAGCAGGGCTGGGGCTGGGCCCACAGCCAGGGTGCAGGGTAGAGCCGCGTCCTGAGGAGAATGGGGCTGTCGGGGCCAGGGTCGCGGCCATGTTGTGGGGTAGAGTGGTGCCCTAAGAAGAGTGGGACCAGGGCTGCAGCCATGTTGCAGGGTAGAGCCGTGCCATGAGGAGAGCAGCAGTGAGTGAAAGCCATGCCCTGAAGGGAGTGTCGGCAGGGCCATGGTGCAGGGCACAGCCACACCCTGAGGAGAGCAGGGCCAGGGCTGCAGCCATGTTGTGGGGTAGAGCCATGCCCTGATAAGAGCTGGGCCAGGGCCATAGCCATGGTGCAGGGTACAGCCGCACCCTGAGGAGAGCAGGGCCAGGGCTGCAGCCATGCTGTGGGGTAGAGATGTGCCCTGATAAGAGCTGGGCCGGGGCCATAGCCATGGTGCAGGGTACAGCCGCACCCTGAGGAGAGCAGGGCCAGGGCAGCAGCCACGTTGCAGGGTAGAGCCGTGCCCTGAGAAGAGCTGGGCTGGGGCCATAGCCATGGTGCAGGGTACAGCCGCACCCTGAGGAGAGCGGGGCCAGGGCCACGGCCATAGTGTGGGGTAGAGCTGTGCCCAGAGAAGAGCTGGGCCGGGGCCACAGCCATGGTGCAGGGTACAGCCGCACCCTGAGGAGAGCGGGGCCAGGGCTGCAGCCATGTTGCGGGGTAGAGCTGTGCCCAGAGAAGAGCTGGGCTGGGGCCACAGTCATGGTGTGGGGTAGAGCCGCACCCTGAGGAGAGCAGGGCCAGGGCTGCAGCCATGTTGCGGGGTAGAGCCGTGTCCTGAGAAGAGCTGGGCCGGGGCCACAGCCATGGTGCAGGGTACAGCCGCACCCTGAGGAGAGCGGGGCCAGGGCTGCAGCCATGTTGCGGGGTAGAGCCGTGTCCTGAGAAGAGCTGGGCCGGGGCCACAGCCATGGTGCAGGGTACAGCCGCACCCTGAGGAGAGCGGGGCCAGGGCTGCAGCCATGTTGTGGGTTAGAGCCGTGCCCTGAGGAGAGCGGCAGTGAGCGAAAGCCGTGCCCTGAGGGGAGTGTCGGCAGGGCCACGGTGCAGGGTATAGCTGCACCCTGAGGAGAGTAGGACCAGGGCCATGGCCGTGGTGCAAAGTACAGCCGTGGCCTGAGCAGAGCGGGGCCAGGGCTGGAGCCATGCACAGGGTAAAGCTGTGCCCTGAGGACAGCGGAGCTGGGGTGACGGCCGGCCATGGTGTGGGGTACAGCCCTGCCATAAGGAGAGCGGCGGTGGACATAAGCCGCACCCCAAGGGCAGCATCGACACGGCCATGGCGCAGGGTAGAGCTGAGGAAAGCAGGGCCGGTGCCGGGGCCATGGCGGCGGGGAGACCCGTGGCGTGGGGAGGCCACAGGAGGGCTCTAGAGCTGTGGTCTCAAAGTAGCGGCAGGTGGGAGCTGTGGCCTGAGGGAAGCGGGGCCACGTCCATGGTGCAGGGTAGAGCCATGCCCCGAGGAGAGCGGTGGCGGGGGTATGGTGGTGGGCAAGCGCCATTGCCGACAGTGGGAGGAGATGTGGGCAGCGTACTCCACACCGTCCATTCCTCCTCCCGCTGCTGGCGGCGTGGCTATGCCCCCCGTAAACCTACCTGCAGGGAGCTGCAGGCGCTGCTTTCCACCCTGCCTGGCTGCTATGTGCGTGTGTGCATGTGCACACATATATAACCTCCTGGTGTGAGACCGCCCTGCTACGACAGCCTGTGTTTTCCGGCGCTCTTTTATCTTTTAAAAGAGAAAATCTCGCTGCTCATGGCATTGCTGAGCGGCGTGGACATTGCCCCTGCCTTTACAGTTCAATGAGGAAGCTAGCGCTGCAGTCTAATGCTTGTCTGCTTTCATTACTGCTCATTTTACAAATGGGACGAGGAAGAGGGTTGGAGCCGAAGAGCTGCCACAGGGGAGAACATAGTGAGTGCCGAAAGCGGGGGAGACCTTTGACTAGAAAGGGCCCTGAGGAAGGACGAAGACCAGTGAGCCAAATTAGGAGCCATCCTAGCAGAGACTTGAGTTACCCCAAGAAGGAAGCGAACAGATGTTTAATTGCAGCATTACAATGATTGACTCTGTTCAAGCCTCCCACTGATGTCAGAGGAGATCTGCACATAGGGAATATATGGATGGAGCTGTGAGTTTCATAGCATGATGTGAGCCTCTGGTGACAAGTTCAGATGAACAGGACGGGGCTTTCCAGGCTACCGTCGAAGGGAGAGTTGTGCGACTTCTTAGGGGCTCAGTACAGATCATGTCCACAGAGCCGGTTTTCCACTCGCACAGCTGTTTGTGCCCCCTGCGCTCTGCCAGGGTTTCTGACTATCTGTCAGTGGAAGGAGGTCTGTACATTGCCCACCTCCAGTTCAAAGAGATGAAACCTTATCAAGAGCTTTAAAAGGGCCAGAGATCTTTCCCCATATCTGCCCGTGTCCTCAATATGTGGCTAATAAACTGCCAGGGAAGTCTGCACGAAATCAGTTGTATTATGCATAATTAGAGCAAATGTGTTATGTCTTTCCCATGGTACTCATTAGACTTTGCTTCAAAAAAAATAACAGAGTTTCAGCAGTAGCTTGCAGTTTCCCTTCATTTCCCATTCCCATGCCAGATGAAGTCATATTATATGCCCAGGTAGCAGGAAATCCAAAGGGAGAGTCTTTAAATACTAATGTACTTACTGAAATATTACAGTTACTACTAAAGGTCTTTAATGTGGATTAAATTAATTGATGGCTGGCCACAAATACTCCTAGTAGCTAGACAGTTAGAAAGATAATTCTCTAGCATGTAGTCATTATATAATCACAGACAAAAAGGGCTGGAAGGGACCTCAGGAGTCCCACCTAGTCCAAATCCCTGCTCCAAGCAGGACCAGGCCCAACTATATCATCCCAGCCAAGGCTTTATCTACCCGGCTCTTCAACACCTCCAAGGATGGAAACTGCACCACCTCTCTGGGGAGCCTGTCCCAGTGCTTCACCACCCTCCTAGCGAGAAAATTCTTCCTAATATCCAACCTCAACTTCCCTTGCTGCGACTTGAGCCCATTGCTCCTTGTCCTGTTATCTGCCCGCACTGAAAACAGTCCAGCTCCATCATCTTTGCAACTTCCTGTCCCGCACTGAGAGGGGCTATGCAGTGCCCTCCGGTTCGTGACAGATCTGGATTTATGGGATGAGGAAGGCACGAGACGTATATGGTTATAAAAAGGAGTTTTATTGACTTATGTCCCTTAATGATGGTGACTGGAACGCAGGAGTTACAAGTTACACTTTGTTTCCAGTTGCAGCTCGGCAGCTTGCAAGCTAATTTACTCGGTACAGGTACGGGGGTGGTTGTTACGCCTGGGGAGCCACTTCCAGCAGCTTACCCAGCCTAAGAAAAGTAGCGCCAGATGAGCGTCAGGCTAGGGTGTATCCAAACAGAAGCTGGATGCTATGGGTATTTCCCTGGCTCGCATGCATCCTATTGAGTCAACCCTGCCTGAAGATCCCAACAAGGTGTTAGGAGGTTGGGTGCTGCTGGGGAGGTTGCATTGCAGTTGCAGTAAACCAACAAAGCCAGTGCCCAGACATTGGGCTGTCCCATGCTGCTTTCTTCGATATGCTAGTGCATGGATCTGTGCAAACTGCAACAGAGGCAATTGCTTTCTGCCTAATTTAAGCTCCCTGTGTGGTTTCATGGAGAAAGCTCTTCTCCAGCCCCCAGGAATACAGCTGCATAATCTTGCTGTGCAAAGATGTCTGCTTTTCTCTAATTCAGAAACAGCTGCTTTTCTCCACCAGTTACATCCACAGGGGAATCAAACCATTGGCCTTGACATTATTAACACCAGATCATCATCAACTTGAGTCCAGAGCCAAGCCAAGGTGGGCAACAGACCCACTGGAAACGATTAGTGCTGTGCCCAAACCAGTTGAACTAGGCAGCCCAGAGTGGGATCAGCAGGGGTGACATCAGGTATAAAAAGCTGCAAAAGACTGACTTCCTGGCAGCACGTTTTAGGGGGCGTACAACCTGGACCAGATGCAGGGGCTGATTCTGTAGGCCATGCCGCAGGCTGAAATCCCATTGCACTCACTGTGTGGAGCACAGCGCCCTCTGGTAGCATACAAGCACGCTACTCTGTGGAGTAGTTACAAGAGCACATGCAACTAGCTTGAACCTACCAGCATCTTTCTGCCTTGCTGTTCCTGGGGTAGCCACCACCTCCTATTCTATTTGAACTGGAGTAATTCAAAGCTGAAAGCTTAAAAATCCTCTCAACTGGCATATTAGTAAAATCTGGCAGTTTTGTTTGCACAAATATATCATCATCCAAGTGTCTGTGGCTAGGACTGAAAGTTTGCTAGTTTTGCTCTAAACAACATCTCTCTTGTGTTGATTTTTCTTGGGCTCTTTTCTCATGTGGCATTATCAAGAAGAATACTCAAACATGCACAGAAAATAAAGCAGTACAAAAAGAAAATTGAATGGGAAAGCTACTATAAATTTAATATAGTTTGGAAATTTGAGAGCAGGACTTCAGAAATGTCATGTCAGGAGATATGCAAATAGATATTTTCATTTTCTAAGGATATAATCATTCCTGTTGATGACAACTGGATTCTACACCATCACTGGCACTAAAGTAGATCTCTTGTCCTTCATGAGGTCATATATACATATGTATATGCATATTTCATTGTATTTTGCTCTTATAGCAAAACATGTATTGATCAGCCCTGAGCAGCCTGCAGGTTTTCTGGACCTCCACAAGGTGTCGCACGCCTTGTAAAATACAGATGGGACAAGTATTATTTCCAAAGCAAGACTTCCGCAAGTCAGAAAGCGCTCCACTACACAGGTATATATTAGGTCCTTTGCAGTCCATAGAGTCACTCGGCAGCTACTCTGGGGTAGCTCAAGATAGCACTTGGCCTCAAGTCAGGCAGATATTGTGAATGTGTTTTAAAATGAGTTGCAAAACGTGTTCAAGGGGTGTTGGTTGTAGCCTTGTTGGTCTAAAGACATAGGCAGGCAAGGTCCTTTGGGTAAATGTGGTATCTTTTATTCGATCAACCAAATAGTTGGAAAAAGAGTTTTTTGCAAGCTTTCGGGTACAAACTGTTTGTGCCCAAAAGCTTGCAAGGTATCCTGGTCTATAGGAAAAAGCAATCAGGATTCATGGTAGAGGTGATATCTTTTATTAGACCAACTAGATTTTTGAGGGGAAAAAAAAAAGCTTGCAATTAAAGAATGTTTATCACCTCTACCAGGAGTCCTGATTGCTGAAAGTTTGCAACGAACTTTCTTCCAACTCTTTAGTTGATCTAATAAAAGATATCACATCTACCCAAAGAACCTTGCCAAACCTTGTTTAAGTAACCGGGACATGATGGATGGGAGTCTCAGAGGTGCCCACAATGATTTGATTCTGCTGCCACTGAAGTCAAATTTAGGCTGTGATTGAGCACACGTAAAAATCTCATTCATGGCTTTGCTACAAGGTTCTACGTTCAGTTAAAAACTTGAAAATTTCCAATTATGAGATATATCAGTCAGCCGGTCAGGTGTGAAGCATCAAGCTCGCAGAAAGCACTCGCACTTGGCACCTTTCAGGACCAGTCCTGCCATCACAGCAACATCAGTTCAAATGACATGAAACTTTTCAAATGACCTTCTTGTTCTTTCCTGTTTGCAGAGAAGATAAAGGCTCTGATTCTGACAATGGCTAGACAGGCAGTGAGCCCAGAGCGCTGGAGACTGACAGCGGCTCCTTCCCTGCACCTCATCCTTTTTGTTTTCTCGCCATTTGTTTCTTGTATCCACCTGTTGCTTCTTGTCCTGACCTGGCCTGTAAACTCCTGGATGCAAGGACTAAGTCTGACTCTACAGTGGCTCGTTCATTGAGGTCCCCTGGACACAGCGTCTTAGCCATCATCGGTGTCAATGTTACCATCATCCTACAGGCCCTGTTCACCCCAGTCACAGCAGATTCATTAGGTGATTACCGCAGGGAGGGGAAGATTAGCTCTAAAGTATGGAACTGGGCTCACGTGCTTTTTACTCTACAAACACCTGTCACAGTGTGTCATGTAGAGTGGCTTGTGTTCAGAAATCCCACGAGCTCTGGGAATGAACTGTTTTACTAAAAAAGAAAATAACATAACAAGAATCAAATACCCTGTTTTTACCAGCCTTGTATTACACACAGTCATTCAGACTGTTTTTCTTTTAATTAAATGCTAATTTTTGCCATTCATTACTTCCTCCCAACCCCATCTCTTCCTGCCTAAATGGGTATATGCCAATCTTGAATGCGTGCATGGCCAGATTCAGCAAAATGATAGAAAATCACCTATCTCCATGAAACAAAAAATCAAATGTGTTTAATAAATGAAAGTGTATAAGTTCCTGCAGTCCCCATGCTCTTCTGAAGCTGTTATTTAAAGAAATTCCACATGATTTTATATTGCCATTCATTTTGTTCTGTGAAGAAAAAAGAAATAAAGTATTTAGCAGGGCAAAACCTAGAATCATATTATTTTCTTATTTCTATTTAGGAAAATAGCCTTTTATAATTGTACATGTTTCGACAGTCGCATTCTTGATCTGGTCTTTATGGATAACCCATCTTTTTCAGTGGGATAAAGGGAAATATAGCTTCCCATACCTCATGTGTGCTGTGGGGAGTGGGAAAAAAAGAAATATATAGACCTTGTCCCAAGTGCTAATGTTCAGGGGAGACAGTATTATTATATTATTCTGCACAAGTCATGGGAAGCTGGAGGGTGGCGGGGGGAACTGGCAGGTCTCTATTGCTCTCCGGAAGCTCACACTATCCTCCAACGTGAGGCTCTGGGGTTGAACAGGAGGTAGCCAAGTGTCCATGAAAGCTACAGCTGCTGAGCAGCTTTTGGTAGACCACAGCGGGGAAGAAGGGCCCTGCATGAAATTGCCACGTCTGACAATTAGGTCAGCAGCCTAGTCCCACCTCTGCTACTGTCGTCCCATGTGACCTTGGGCAAGTCACTTATAACATGTCTCCGACTCAGATGACATTTCATTGACCTTTGCCAAGTACTTTGACATCCTCCAGTTGGAAGGTTCTGCCACTTTACCAGTATTTTCACACCAGGCCAAGGACTTTCAGAGATGAAAGTGTGCTTAACCAGCTCCTCTGGCTGGGATGATGTAGTTGGGGCTGGCCCTGCTTGGAGCAGGGGGTTGGACTAGATGTGACCTCCTGAGCTCCCTTCAACCCTCATTGTCTGTGATTCTTCAGGAGCTCCTCACACTTGCGGAGAAGCCCCAGGTGACACAGAGCTCAGGTGTTTGGCTTCAGCTATTTCCAGTCCTGACTGGAAAGAGGTATAGGTTGGGCAGGGGGTTCAGGACAGGTGCCTTCGCTTTCACTGTTACTGGTTGTCGTGGCTTCTAGGATTTTATTATTATTGTTGAATTATGAGTGATGATGATAGGATGATGATATGATAATTATGCCTGATGATGACAATAGGCTTGCAAACCCTTCAGTTTAAAGCTGCCTGGCTGTGACCACAGCATTTCTTTGCAGGCAGCAGTCTTTCATGACTTGTTATATCCCACCTGATTCCTTTGAAGCTCTTCGCTCCACGGGTGTTAACACCCCTCTCTCTTCCCCTCTCTTTCTCGTGGTCTGAATTATGCACAGATTAAGCCAGTCTTTCTTCTGCATTTCTGCCAGCTGGGCCTGGTCGTGTAGCTTCTATTTCACGACTGCTTTTAACTCCAGCTAACTTACCCTCAGGCCCGTGGGCAGTGAGTAGTGGCTCACGCCTCTCACATCGTGCCCCCCGGGCTGGGTGTTCGGACTCTTCCCTCTTCCTCCTTCCTCCTCCTGGTCCTGGCAGGTCCTGAGCCTGCTGCTCCCTGGGCTGGCTTTATGCTTCATGGCTTTGGCGAGTGCTGTGCTGCAAGAATCTCGCCAGACATTCAAACGAAAGCAGGATAGAAACCAGCCCTAGAGCCATTGCACATTTTCAAGCACTATCTTGATAGCTGGTCGCCTCTTTTTATAGCCGGACGGTCATTTTTAGGCCGTCTGAAGCATGGGGGGCTCTGTCAAGAAGGCCGGATTTCGCTTTGCAAGCTTGAAAAATTCTCACGACCGCACCGACGTATCTTGTTCACCTTCTGCCTCCTTTGCTGTGCCTTCTTTTTTTAAGCGCTTGCTATAGGATCCGGGTTGCTGTTGCTGCCAGCCCCAAGCCAGCAGCCTTTTGCAAAGCTGCACCCCTCGAT